AACTGTACTTTTCTTCAGCAAAGGGAGCAACAGGCACTCACTGGCACTTTCTCATTAAACACAGGGCAGGTCCTAGGCCTTCTAGGAATGGTTGGGCCATAACTTTGGGTCATTAATTGGTCGCAGCCCAGGTTTGATCGTGGACATCCCTCCAGAGGAACTGGGCTGGGCTGCATTCTCGGTGCTCTGGAGTTGAGCTGCGGGTCTGATTTGTATCAAGGCCCTTTTCTTGGTGAAAGGAGCAGGACTTGGAAACTGTGAAAGTCTCGGAAGTCTCAGACATTTCTGGGCCTAATGAGCTGAGCAGACGGAAGGCGGCTCAAGATGGCCTCAGAGTGGGTGGGCTGGTCAGACCAAGGCATCGTGCTGGGTGTCTGGTGCGAGTTTCCGTCATTGTGTCTGCGGGTGAGCGTGGCAGGTGAACGTGAGACTCTGGGGCTTCCTCTCCAGGGGACGCTGGGCGCAGTTGCTGGTCTATAGTAAGGCTTCCTAGACGCCTGCCATCTGCCTGAAATGGCCAGAGATGGGGGAAATAGAATCCATGGTTTTTTTTAAATACAGAAGAAAGGGAAACTCCACCCGGGAAACATAACCCCAAGTAAAGTGTGTGGAAGCAGGATGTTTAATTGCAAACTTTTCTTGAGACCCAGCTGCTGTGTAATGTTATCTTGGTCGCTCCTGCAGCCAGAGGACAGTTTATCTGGGCCCCTGACGCAGGCGCCGTAAACAGAGCTGGCTTTCTCAGATGACCTCTGCCCTGTCCCCCTTCCCCTCCACCTGCCCTTTCTCTGCGGTTTATCACTAGGGTTTCCAGGGTCCACAGGGCCAGCTCAGAGAGGCTTGAGAAACTCTGATGGGGGGTGGGAGGGACGGGGGAGTGTGGGTTGGGCTGGAATTTTGTGTATCCATTGCTCATCTGGAACGATAATCTAGGATGTTCAAGGTTTGGAAGAAAGCAGACGAGCCTCCTGCCCAGATGAGAGAAAGGGGCCTGGAGACTGTCCTCGGATCTCTGGGCTTATCTCCAGGGAGGTCTCTGACCATTTCCTCAACTCAGAATTTAGACTGTCCAGGAGGGGAGGCTGAGGGAGCCTCTGGCAAATCCCAGAGGTTTGGGAGAACCTGGGATTGGGGATTCATGACCTGAGTCACCTTCATGCTCACTCAGCGGGGAGTGGGATGCATGGTGTTAGCAGGAGCAGTTCTTTGCCCAACAAGGAAAGAAATACGCTGTGAGGGGAAGCATGGCTGTGTCCTGGCCAGGTGGCTGTGGCTGACATGGGTCACATGAACAACTCTCCATCACCCCCTGCCCTCTGGATATTTCTCCAGAGGGTGTGTCTTAGGTGTGGGTTCAGGTCAAGGGTTAGACACAGATGACTCCCTGTGACTTTTCAACTATTTTGAAGAGTAGAGGGGAAAAGACTTTTCCAAGGGGGGCATGCTCTGGTCATGGCTGATTAGTCCTAGACCAGGGATTAAGAGGTCTGGGTTCCCGGCCCAGCTCTCACTCACAGGGTGGGTGTGCCTGCAGTGATAACCAGGGTAATGGATCAGGCCCAGCAGCCCTCAAAGCTGTGCCCCTGAAATAGAAGAGGAGCCCAAGGGCCTGAGAGGCTGGGCTGAGGTCTCAGCCCATAAGGAATGTCCTGAGAGTGACACCCAGGTGTGGCTAACTCCAGAATCTGTGCCTCTTTCTTGGCAAATCACCATTCTGGGTCCTAGGTTCCTCCTCTGCAAAAGGAGAAGCCTCCCAGCTGCCAGAGGCTGTGAGCTTGTGATTAATTCTCCCTGGGAGGTGAAGGGAAGCCCCTAATTAAGAGAGGATGGAGCATGGGTCATGTTAAGCCCCAATTAAGCCCTTGCTCTGGGCCCGCTTGGTTGGCTCGGGAGAAAGGCTGCTGTCTAATGGTGTGCTGGCAAGTGCAGGCTCTCTCCCGGGAGAGCGTGGTTACTTGGGGCCTCCTTACAGGCCATCTGCCAGACAGAGGTCAGGCAGGCAGCACCTGGTTGCGCACAGCATCTGCTCCCTGCCCGGACCTGCAGGAAGCGGAGATGCAGGTGGGAGGGGAGATGTGGCTAGCAGGATTTGGGAGTCAAGGAGCTGAGAGTCAGCAGGGGGATGAGCTGGGTTATAACCCCTGTGAAAATCCAGAGCATCCTGCCACAGTCAGTGAAGCCAGTTGTGTATGAGGATTTCCTCTGCATTCGTCTGCTTTTGTAGATTCCTAACCATTGACTTCTGTCTGGGCCTTGAGTTCTGTCTCTTCTTGGTCTCAGGCTCTCAGAATTGACATGGCTCCCCCATGTTCCTCTAGGCTCATCCCCTAAGCAAGGAGTGTACAGACTCTTCAGACCACCCAAAGCTTTATTTAAAAAGATGTTATTCAGTCCTGATCAAGTTGTTTGGTTTAAATATCCACACTCCTAAATTTACATATAGGGAGATAGTCCAGTGTGATTAAGGGCATGGGGATTGGACTCAGCTAGACCTTCAAGTCCTTTGTGTTTTATTAACTGTGTGACTTTGGGCAAGTTACTTAGCTTCTCTGAGCCTCGGCTTCAAAATTGGGATAATAATGGTAGCTACCTCATTGGGCTGAAGATTAAATGAGCTAATGCATATGAATACTTTACACTGTGCTGGCATGTAGTAACCTTTACTTAAATGGTTTCTATAATTTATTATATGAGGTATATATTTGCATATGATATAGAGCACAGCAGGTCCCTATCTGTTTATTATAATAATAGTCAATAGTTGACTTTGGGCTTGTGAGGATAGAGATGGCCTTTTACTTTATGTTCTTTCTTATCAGGATCACATCAAACATGTCATAAATACGCCCTCTCGGGGTGGCAACACTCAGCTCTGTTTGCTTTGCTTTATGGCCCTTTCTTTGGGTACATTTCAGAACAAACATTCCATACTGCACGAGGCTAATTCTGTGACTTAGAAATCGGAGGGAGAAGGGACTGGATCCTGAGCACGTTTCCTGGGCTGTTAACTGAGCAGCCAAACGTAAAACCACACATGCTCGCTATGGACTAAATATTTGTGTCCCCCCAAATTCATATGTTGAAGGCCTAATCTCCATTGTGTTGGTATTAGAGGTGGGGCCTTTGGGGGTAATTAGGTTTAGATGAGGTCATGAGGGTGGAGCCCCAATGCTGGGATTAGTGCCCTAATAATAATAATAAGAGATCAGAGCCCTCTGTCTCCCTACATGAGGATACAGCAAGAAGGCAGCCATCTGCAGGTCAGCCATCTGCAAGTTAGCCATTTGCAAGTCAGCCATCTGCAAGGCAGGAAGTGGGTTCTCACCAGGAGCCTTCATCTTGGACTTGCAGCCTCCATAACAGGGGGAAGTGAATGTTTGTGGTTTAAGCCACCCTGTCTATGGTGTTCTGTTATAGCAGCCTGAGTAGACTAAGACAGCCCTGCTCCAGGCATCTGGTGAAGAAGGCCACTCGGACACCAAGGTGTCCAAAGGCTACTCCTCTTTGCTAATGTTCCTTCCTTCTCACAGTGGCTGAGACCTCTGGCTTCTCTGGCCATTTTGTTCTCACTGGTGGAGATCCCCCTAGACCTACTGAATCAGAATTGCCAGGCAGAGGCCCAGGAATCTGAATTTTTATGAGGCTCCCCAGGTGATTCTGATGGGCGTCCTGGCAAGGGAGCCGCCGCTGTGGACCATAGACGCTCAGTCTCTTCTGAGGGAGGAAGTGAGGCAGAGGTCGCACCATGTCTCAGTCTGTCCCTTATCCCCAGAGAGGTCACAGCTTGCACCAGAGGGGAAGTTCAGCAGAATAGCTCTGAGGTCATGTGAGGGGACTCCTCCCTCTGACTGAGGTCTCTCCCAAGAGGACATGTCTTTGGTGTAGTTTCAGGTAAAAGAGACAGAAATGGTGGGAACGGTAGGCGAGATCGTGTGGGCAGAGGGCTTACTCTCCTCCAACCAGCAGTCCTGCGCCCCTCCTGGGCCAGGGAGCCTTCCAGAGTGGCCTGAGGTAGCAGCCTTGGAGAGCCTGATTGAGCACTGGCAACTGGGGTGACATTGGAAATGGGGTCCTGAAATGTCTGCATTTCAGAAAACTTCACAAATCTTCCACGTGCTAACATCTCTCCTGCAAATCTACCTCTCACCCAGAGGGTCAGTTTGGTTGTTCAACGGACCAAAATGTTTTCTGAGCACTCACTCTGTGCCAGGCACTGAGCTAAGACTTAGGGATACTGAGATGCATCACACATCTCTGAATGCTTGAGGTCTCCTATGATGTTTTTCAGAGTGAGTTCTGAGGATCAGTTATGGCAGAATAACCTGGAATGTGTTTGTTAAAAATATAGGTGCCCCATTTTAACAAATGTACCACTCTGGAGGGGGGGGTTGGTAACGGGAGAGGCTGTGCATGTGTTGGGGCAGAGGATATACAGGAATTCCCTGTACTTTCTGCTCAATTTTGCTGTGAACCTAAAACTGCTCTATAAAAAAAGTCTTTAAAAAATAAGTAGACCAAACCCAGGTCTACTTATGCAGAATTTTAGAGGATGGGGCCCTGGCATCTGCAATTTTGGAAGGTCCCTTGCAAAATCTCATTCACTCTAAAGTTTGAGAACCAGAGGAAATTAGCTACTTAAATTTTTTTTAACGACCTCAATTTTATATTCACTGTCTAAAATACATGTAAATGAAAAGGAGGAAATGGAAACCACTTGTAATCCTACCCTCCTAAGATAATCATCCTTAGCATTTTATTAAATGCCCGTGTGTGTGTGTGTGTGTGTGTGTGTGTGTGTGTGTGTGTGTGTGTGTGTATTTACACCTAGATGTGGAGCATCCATATGGTACCTGACAGTGTGCTAGGCCGTGGGGTCAGAGATGAGAAAAAGATTGGTCCTGGCCATCGAGCATCCACAGTCCTGTTAAGTGATGCCTGGCACAGCTTGAAGCCCAGCCTTAATCACTCACTCACCGTACTTACTTTTTCCCCACAGGTATACATCATCAACGTGACCTGGTCTGACTCCACATCCCAGACCATCTACCGGAGGTACAGCAAGTTCTTTGACCTGCAGGTGAGTTGGTCTGAGTTCAGATGGTGCCCAGTTCCACCCAGAGTGGCCTGAGTGTCTGGTGAGCTGGCCTCTCTCATGTCCTCCCTCATCCAGAGAACCCCGTCAGAGCTCTCAGGGTCAGAGTCTAGGTCAGAGCAGAGGGACAGATGAGGGAACCTCGACGGTCGAGCCGGGCTTGGCTCAGTCTTGGATATTTCAGGCAGACACTTGGGGCTTTGTTGGCTTCCTCAGATGGTCTTAACAGTCATGCTTTGTCATCCTCCTTCGCCTGGGGGATAGGAAACCAGGGTGGAGAGGCGGGCAGATAGCTGTGGGTGCTGTGTGCATGAGCAGACATGTGTCTATAAACATCCAGGGTGAGACACAAGCCGCCACATCATTGCAGGCAAGGAAAAGCAAACACACAGAAAAGGCTGAAACAGAAAATAAGCAATTTCTTGAACTAGACACAGACTGGGCATACCACTGTGTCTGTCTAACTGAATAAGGCTCTTGCTGCCCTGTTTATACTCGTGTGTGGTACATGTGTCTCTCTGATATATACAGGCATGTGCACCAGGGGAATGGTAGTATGGATCCCACATCTCCACTGCAGACACCTCTTTTGATGTCAGCTAATGGGGTTCAGCCTCTTTGGGTTACAAGTGAGAGTTTTACATTCATGCTGTCTTAGACAAAAAGCAGATTTGGTTGGAAAGATATACCAGTGAAGCTTATGCAGCTGACCAGATGGTGAAAGGGGAAGTGAGGCAGTGGGTTCCAGGAACACCTGAAACCAGGGCTGCTCTCCCTCTGTCTTGTGTCTGCTTCCGTCTGGACACTGTCCTCAGCTTCCCGAGGAACTTGGCTATTAGCAGCTCTCGAATTTCATATCTTGTGGTTCCCGACAGCAGAGAGACTGACTCTCTCCCATTTCCAAGTTGAAAAATCCCAGGGAAGGCTCGAATTGGCCTGACTTGAGTCAGGTGCTCTCTCTGACCAATCAGTATGGCCCAGGGTAGAAGGTCATGTAGCACAGACATGGCCACTAGGGGGCTCACCTCTGTGTATCAGAGACAGGCACCAGACAAGGCAGAATCATTGTGAGTTGGGCAGCAACCACTCCTGTACCAGGAAAGGAAAGCCAAGATGTTCTAGGTTCTTTCTTAGGGCTATGAGCCTGGTTTAGGCTAATAAAAACACAAAGAAGAGACACCTACTCCTGGCCCTCACAACCAAGGTCCACTCCTTCCTTTGCAGGCCTTTGGTGGTGAGTCATCTCGGAGAGGCCAGGCCTGCATGTTTGCCCCCAAGTACCTGATTTTATCCCATTGTCCTTATCGCTCTACCTATGAGATGAGCCAGAGGTGAGCCAGCTTCCTGTAATGCAAATCCTTGCTTAATCTAACAATATGGGATTGGAAGCCACTTCTTACCCTCCTGCCTGTTTCCTCCTCCATGCTCATTTCCTGTCCCATCTCCTTGGGTCCTTCCAGCATAAACTGGTGGGATTTGCTGATACTCCGTCAATGGGTATAGTGTGCTGGACAGGAAATGATAACTTAGTTGGGGAGAGGGAACCCTGAAAGGACTCATTGATGAGCCAGAGGGGGTCTGAGAGCCAGAGGAAACTCTCAGATCAGAACTTTTCTTCCCCTCCTTTCCGTTCTGTTCCCCCACCCCCTTTCCAGTTACAGAATCTCACAAGAAAGGAATGCTGCTCCCCCCACTTCTCCCTTGCCTGGAGGGCTCATTTCCTGTGTGTCGGAAGGGGACACAGGGTATGGAGCAGCTTGCGTGATGTGCTGGTTTTAGCCATGAGCATGGCCAGGTCTGTCTACGTGGGTCATCGCCACCCTCTAGATGCAGTTCAGAAAGGGGTTGGGATGATTCTTTAGAATTTAACCTTTGTGCCAAGAGTAGCATCTTTGTGAACCCATTTTACAGAACTCATGACATGATGACTTTTAGTGGCAATCATTTTGGAAAGACTTTCTTATTCATCAGTGTCACTGATTTTAATATGGCAGCTCCTATAGAGGAAGAACAAATGCCATTGCTAACTCCATCTCTGGTCGCTGGTGGCCCTCAGAACTCAGCTTTCTGAGAGGCTGTGTGAGACAGTGCCTTAGAGCTTAGGCACTGGGGACACATTGCCTGGGAACTGGTTACTGGCTCTGTCACTGTGTAACTGTGGACAGGTTCCTTAACTTCTCTAGGCTCTGTTTTCTAAGGTGTAGAATGAAGATTTCACTAGTACCTACCAGTAGGGTTGTTGGGAGGATTAAATGAGCAAATACACATTTTTCCTGACACGTGGTTGTCTAGTGAGTTACTTGGTGTCAGCAGGTGACAAGGACTCTGGGCTGCACGTTGTAGCGGTCTGGGGGCTTAGTGCCTCGTATCATGGGGTTGCTTTGTTGTTTCCTTCACTTGGCTTCACTCTGCCGAGGAGCTGCTCTGTACCCAGGACTGCGTCATAGTGTTCAGAGCCTTGGGAGCCACAGGCTCTCTCTGGAGCTTGCCCCTGGGTCAGGACAGAGTATGTCGGGAGCAGGGGTGTGGCCCACAGGGGGCTGCTCTCAGAGTCTTTGCTCCTCCCCTCTTTGGCTGAGCCCCGCCTTGGAACCCTGGAAGTCCTGGGCTGCCCAAGCCAGCCTGGGGGAAGCTGCTTCACTAGCTTCACCAACTCATGTTCTGGGCCTTCTGGAACCACAGACACCTTCGTGAATCTGGTGGAGCCCTCTCCCCAGAAAAACAGAGTATATGTACAGTTTTACTTACAGCGTCAGGTGTCACAGCGCCCTGTGAAAAGCCACTGAGCTACACCACTTCGGATCATTAATCACACATTCACATCTTGTACTACTCGGGCACCATTTGGGGGTTTATTTGCAGTATTCAGATAATAACGGTGGGCCTGGACACCCCTTTGAGGGACCCTCCCTCCTACAAGTTGATTTCCCTGTCCCCAGTGTGGGTCTCCCCATACCTTCGCTCTCTTATTTCTCCCTCTTCAAATGGTGTCTTTTGCTCCTAGTGGAGGTCAGGTTACCATGAGGAGGACTTGGGCTCCCAATTCTCTAATGTAACCGGGGGAATCATGTGCAAAGTGTCACCGAGCGGCCCAGACTCTCCTCTGGCAGTGGGCGAGGACCATGGGGTACGTGCAGATCCAATTTCACTTGGAATCGCACAGGCACCTCCAGTGTCCCTCTCCCTCTGTGGGGCAAACCTGGAGATGGACAGCCGTGCCCTGGCTTCACACTCCACAGCCACAAGGCCAGGAAGCATTTGAAGGATGCTCTGTTATAGGTCTTGATTTTTCCATTTCTCTCCACTGCCGCTTCCACATCAGCCAGTCCTCAGGCCCCCAACCTGTGTGCAAACTAAGATTTGAAGCAGAACATCATTCTACGTTATCATCTTTAAAGCTTCTGCCAGGACCTACCTGCTCTGTGTATGGTGCTCTTGGAAGATCTTTGGGAATGAACAATCTCAGGCAGCAGGCCCTGAGGGGGTGGCAGGAGGAGGGAGGCAGGAGTGGGAGGACTTGTGCTCGGAGGAGAGCCAGTGTCTCTTTGATGTGAGCATGGCGTTAATGAGTTCCCTACAGGGTACTTAGAGTTCTGGTGGAGCACTGGGGAGCTAGCTGTTCATGGCGCTGGGGGAGGGAAACCACAGATAACTGGGTACCTGCCCGTTCCACGCTTATCTGAAGCCTTAGGACTGTCCAGAGCAGATCGTTTGTCTCCATGCTCCCGTTTCTCCCCCACCAGCCACGCTCCTCACTTACTGGCTGCCTGCCACTTTCAAAGGCCTGGATTAGGGTCACCAGATAAATACGAGATGTCCAGTTAACTTTGAAGTTCAGATAACAGTGAATACTTTTTTTAGTATAAGTATGTCCCACATATTGCATGGGACACACTTATACTAAAAAAGGTATTCATTGTTTATCTGAAATTTACATTTTCTTGTGTGTCTTGTGTTTTTACTTGCTAAATCTGGCAGCCTTACTCCAGCTGTGGGTGGTGAGGGTGGAAGTATAAAGATGAATAAGCCAGGCTGACTCGGGGTGAGAGGGGACTGGCCTATGCTAAGGCCTCCAACACATTTGCACTTTTGCAGGGCAGAAGCGGCACAGGCTGGGGAACACTAAGTTGAGAAGGACAAGGTCCCTTCCTTCCACAAGTCCGTATCTAGTGGGGAAAGTAGACTTTTAAGCCATTAAGTCCACTGTAGATGAAATAAGTACTAGATTGAGATACAAGCAACATGCTATGGGATGGAGAGGAAGGAAAGAACATTCTTCTTGGGAGGGGGGAACAAAGAAGATGCCCATATGGTTTTGATTGGTGACAGGAGATACAGCCACATACCTCTACTCTAGTTTGGGGGAATTCGGTTGTTTTTTGAGGATTATAGTTATCAGGGTAAAGTATGTCTCTAATTTACTTGTTAGTTTGTTGATTCATTTATGCCTGCCTGCCTCCTCCTATCTATCCACCCATCCATCCACCCATCCATCCACCCACCCACCCTTACACTATCCAATCTTAAGTGCCTGCCTTCTATGTCCTAGGCAGTATGCCAGGCTCTGGGGATTTACTGATGAGCAAAACCAGATCTGGTTACTGCTTTTATGGGACTTACAGCTTAGTGAGGGAAGACAGATTTTAGTTAAAAAAAAAAAAATATATATATATATATATAATTTTATACTATTCCAAATGCTACAATGAAAGGTACTGTAGATATTTTACAGGGGAACCTTATACTCTGGGGTCAGAACAGGTTTCCCTGAAGAAGTGAGTTTTATCTGACAGATCAATGAGTTATTTTATTTTATCTTGTTTTTGAGATCAGAGATCCTTTTATGCTTCTAATGAAAGCAAGACTGTCTCCCCAGACAAATGTGTGAATGTACATATACAATTCTAATAACCCTTTTCCTTGTTCACTCCCCCCTGAAATCCTTCTAAGGGCACTAGGATAAGAGACCCTCTACTCTGCCTCAA